ATGGAGTACGCCAAATTTCAAGTCTCTTGAGGTTTAGCATATGCAGTTTATTTGATGATAGTAGAGATACTGTACTATTAGTACATAAGTAATAGAGTTCAAATATCTGGTGATTGTTATTAATTTTACTAATGACCTCCTCACACTGAATTGGAGATGGAGAAGAAAGTGTTATCCATTCATTGTCCCAGTACACACCTCCAGTGACTCCTAGCATAAAACAAACACAAATTTTATACTTGAAATTTGAGAATGTGTGATTGTATTAGTTTTCATTATTTCGATGCAAAGAACTGTGAATCAAGTTTAGTTATCAGGCAGCATGTATATTACTGTGGTACAGAGAACCCTCTATGGCAAACACAGCCATTAATTATTGCATGCATGTGATATAGACTGTCCCACAACTTTATCATATGGCATACTTATGTCAATAACTAACGATTTATATCATTTGGAAATTAAGTGTGATAAAACTAATCGTGGACATAATTTTACAGTAATAGTTTTACCTTCTTCATGTTGTCTCTTGTCCTGTCTCAGTGCAGATATCATAATAGGATCATCATTAATTGTCTCCAAGAAAAGAGAAGCTTTCTCATCATTACTAGATGAATCGTTCCTTATCTTATGTAAAATAGGAAGAGAGATTTCTTGCTCTGCCATTATGAAATCAAAAAAAATAATTGACTCCAAAAATGAGTAAATATGACTACTAGGAATCTTTCCGTTATCACCAGACACTAAGGATTTTCCTTTCCATGAAAACTCATCAGCTCTTCTATGTATCTCAAGATGCTCTCCCTCACTAAATGAGAAATCACCACTCCCTAATGCATGATAGTCATATCGAGCTATGTATACAGATTCTGCTGTTGGTGAACCCACTACCAGTGATTGCGTACACTGATCCTTCACTGTACAATAATTATATCGGTCATAATATAATTATTAACATATCACATGTACATACTCTGAATTTTTGCTTTTTGTGCCAGCAGCAGTTGAGTATTTAATATACTTTCTTGCATGATGTACTCCACTAATGCCTCCTCTCTTCCTGTGATGAGGTAGTATAGACAGATTATACCAGTAGAGTCAGTACCTGCTTTCATTAGGAGAGAGGTTCGTAAAAACTGAGCCTCTGATTTCTTTGATTTAAATATTTCATTTATAAACTTCTCTCTTGTCAGTAGCTCTGCTTTCAGTTTAGGCTCTACATGTAATAAAAAAATGAGAATTTTTATGTGTCACTATATACCTGGAGTCTGTAGTGTCCTTTCAATATACTCTATACAAGTAAAAAGAGGATAAATTAGATATTTTTATCATTCACTAACTATACTTTCTCGTTTCTTGGTAGTATTCATGTGTTCATCTTGTTTAAATATTAATATTATTGACATCAGTAATTGAGTAATAGATCAACTCACACACTTTTGTAATCAAGTAAAGTCCTCAGTTCTTGTTCCTCTCCATCAGCTACTTTAATCTCCTCTGCAAGACACTCATTATTCATTACCTATAATCAGTACATAATATTAAACAAGGTCTCATACAGTTACAGTATCTTGTACTTTGTATCTGATCCTTTTATCATAGACAGTGTAGTGGCCAATGGTTAGTCTAATTAAACTGAATTCCTTCATCAAGACAGTTAGGTTGTCTTGTGCTTCCAAGAGAAGAGCAGCTAGTAAATGATGTGGAGCATAACAGATGATAATGATGGAGTTCCCACGATGAATGCTTCGTACAATAATCCTCTTGTTTAATTCTTTAAATGCTTCCTCTAAGAGATTACGTATGTCATCAAGTGAGTGCTCATCTGGTTCCCATCCCAAAGTAAACTGAATTGTTTCAAAATCATTAAAATGCTCGGGCTGATTCTGACTAAGGAAATCCTTCAATGATCCACAAACTGCCTTCACTTCATCTTCATATTCTGATATCAAAGGATTTGCTTCAGCGATTTTGAAACGTTTTACAATTGTTTTAATAATTGAAATATCATTGACACGACATTTCTTCACAATAATGCTCATGATGCTGTCAATGTCATCAGCAGTAGATAGCTCAACACTTAATTCAGGGAAGGATCGTTGAAGGAACGACTTCATTTTTTCAGCTGATGGAATTGATTGAGCAATTAATGGAACCAGCTCATCAATAAGAATACCAAAACTTCCTCTGACCTCATTAAAGATTGGCTTATGTGCTGCATTGAAAAAGAACTCACCAGCTATTTGTAAAAAATTAAACATTACTATCAATAATTACTACCTGATAATGTTGATTGATTGGTACTGCTGGTAACTGGTGTAGCTACTGATGTAGCAATAGTGTTACCGTCTATATTAAAATGTCAATAATGATAATAACAGTATAATGTTACTTGATGAAGCATAATTAGCAATTGATACGACTGCAGGAGGTACTGCAACAGATAAAGTTGATGCAACATCAAATTCAGGAAACAACTCAT